CAGTAACTTCGAGACAGTGTACAAAAGTAATAAATTCTAAAATTAAGAAAAAAAACCTAAATTTAGCATGAAAATTTTTTTCTTTCTACTATGAATTGATGATTCCCAACAAATTAAATGCCAAATTTATTGACAAGTAAATCCAGAAAAAAAGAAGAAGTTGGTCAGCAAGATTGCGATGCCAGTGTCATGGGACTTCCAGCTTCCAAGTAGTGGCTATGCATCGCATAGGAATCCTAGACATTAGAGTTTTTAACATAGATAAGCATATTAGGGAGATATGAGCAATTTTTTATATTAGTAGATGAATCTAAGTCCTTACCCATGCAAGCGTCGATAAGAGATACACCTCTAAAACCCTCCAACTCAAGCAGAAGTCGGCGATCAAACGAAGACGAAAAAAGAAAGATTTATTATTAGCGTTCAAGGGAAAAAAAAAAGGAATTGCATAAATCCCGGACAGGATAGCACATTCCCGACTATCCCAGTCCAAGATTGCATTTTTTTTAATATTGCCATCTTGGCCCTCTTTATAAATTAAATCTTGGATATTTATGTAATTTTGTCCGATTTTCAATCTTCAGATTAAAAATGTGAGATTTTTTCCCATTCGTAATTTTAGTAATCTTCAAATTAAATCCCGAGATTAATGTAATTTCAGTTTTTTCTTTAATTTTAACTTTTATAATTATCTTTGTCCTCTTTGTTAATTAAATCTCATATATTTCGCCATCTTGGTCCGAAATTTATAGAATCTTTTTATTAAATTTCTTTGGCAGGATTATGCAAATTCAATTTTCCAATATTCAAATTAAAAAGTTAATATTTAAAATTAAGAATATGGACCATTTAAATTTATTTCCCTTTTCATGAGTTTCAAAATTTTTGACAGATTATGTTAAAATAGAAAAGAAAAGAAAGGCTAGAGAAGTAAGGTCCAGAAAACATAAATTTGAAAACAAGAGATTCAATGAAATCATGTTTTGAATATTTTCAGACATGTGTTTGATAGCAGATTTGATAATTGAATCTCAATTTAAAAAATTATTCGATTTAGCAATATATTTGTAAACTAGAAACAATTACAAACTAAATTTTAGTTTAATCTAAACATATATTAATTAATTTATTAACATTTTTTTATGAATTTTGTATAATTATTATTTTACAAGGTTATATATTTTAGAATACAATATATTTTACCTGTTTTAATTTTAACAAACATGATAGGAAGTAATATATTTTATCAAAGTTTTTATCTTTTTTATGTAATTTTACATCTTAAAAAATTCAAATTCTAAATTTGAAAATATTGAAAAACGTTTCAGATTTTCTACGATTGGATCATAAAATTCGAAAACAGTTTTAAAAAAGGGAAATTGACCCAACTAACCTTTAATTGTTTTTGAAATGCTCAAATGAGCCACCTACGTAGGATGTGCCCAAATAACCCACTTTAACATTTAATTAAATTTAAATGGAAGTGAAATTACAGCAGTACCCCTTAATTCAAAGAAGGGAGCTCCCTTTCTCTTTTTTTTTTTCCTTCTCTTGTCTGCTTCGTTCCTCTTCTTCACCCTTTGATCTTTCTTCTCCATTTTATTTGGGTTCATTGAAATTAAAATGGGTATAAATATTGGACTTGAATCCCACCGAGATTGAATAAATCTTGCCCCTTGATTTTTTTTTATTTGGGTTCGTTAAAATTAAATGATAATAAATCTTGAGCATGAATCTCGTCCGAGATTGCATAAATCTCGATCGAAACTCATGCAATTTCACCAAGTTTGCGTGAACATATCGATTTTTTATTTGGTTTTTTGAAATTAAATGATCATAAATCTCGAGTTTTAATATCGGGCAAGATTGTATGAATCTTGTTCGGGATTCAAAAATCGAGTAAACTTTGTTGGAGGCTTTAGAATTTTGTAACACTAAGTTGCGCACCCGAGGTTTCATGCTCACTCCAACATTTGGAGATATCTAAATAAAATTTAATATATATACATATGTAATATTTGATTTCTCATTGCAAAAGTTGTTTGTTGTTTGTTGGCTACAATTATCTGTGAGATAAAAAGAGAGGGACATCTAAACTACCCAGGCTAATAATAGTTTTATACCACAATTAGCAATTAAAATATATGGTGTAAATTATAAATTCGCCCGAGAATTCCCTAAACTCGGCCCAGAACTAATAGTTTCGACCAAATTTCATAAAACTCGGGAACAAACTTGCCCAAGATTTAGTCAGGATTTTTTCCTTCAAACGTACGCTTTTTCTTCAGATTAGGGGGCATTTTCGTACTTTCACTTTCACTGATATGTCAGAAAAACTAATAAAAAATATATTTTGAGAGGTGGGTTATTTGAACAAAAAGAAAACTCTAAAGGGTTATTTGGATCAATTCCCCTTTAAAAAACGAGTCTCTAAACCGCTGAAACTATTTGGGAAAATGACTCATATGACCCTCTTAAGTTTCCAATGTGCTCAAATAACTCACCCCTCAAAAATTGTTTTGAATGACCCAAATCTGCTTTTTCAGAATTGTCAGTGGAAGTAAATGTACCAAACTACCCCTCAATTATAGCGTCAATTCTTGGGCTTAAACGTGATTTTCCCGGTCGTAAGCATGAAAATGATAACTAATTCTCGGGCAGAATCGCATTTTTCCCGCCCGAAAATTGGCCAAAATGCTAATTTTGAGTTGTTTATGGGCGAGAATTGGCGAGAAGTTAGGTTGACTTACAATGAATTCCCAGCCGTTAACTGGTATTATTTCGCCCGAGTATTTAAGGTTTTCCAATTAATCAAACAACCACCTCTCATCTGTGCACTTCAGCAAACCAGTCTTCTTCATCTGTGCACTTCGTACTCAGCTTTGCAGATAACAAAAAGACTATTGTACATTGAAAGTAACTCTTCCATCTGACCACACAGTTTGTTTGTAGCTGAGTAAGATTTCTACACAAACGAGGTAGGTGAAATGTCATTTACAAAGAATGGTCTTTTTTTGTGTTTTTCGTCTCTGAAGTCGCACATTTATATGTCTACCCTATTGTTTTTTGTTTATTTGGAAACGTTTGACTGCATCTTTGTGGTTTTTATTCTTCCTTAGAGAACGACATGTTTGGGGCATGTACTCTATATTTTTCCATGATTCTCGGGCGAAGTTAGGGTTATTCACGGTCGAAAATGACAATATAATATGAGTTTCTCGGGCGAGAATAATATTGTATACGGGCGTGAATTCTCGCCCGAACGACAATAAATTCCGCCCGAGAACGTCGAAAGTTTCGAATTTCGAATTTCAAATTTTGAATTCTTCTCTTTCCACATGCAAGATGCCTTGCCTATTTGTTAGCTATGGTGGTAGTTGGAATGAGTCACAATTTCTATATGAAGGTGGAATTATAGGAGGTTTGGATGTGGACGACTCTATAACTTATGAGGAGCTCCTTAGGGCTATGTTCAGCCTTACCCGAATAGATCCGGATCAGTTCAAAATCTTGATACACTGTGTATATAAGTTCAATCTGCTGTACCAGGTTCCAAAGTATGACATCTTTGATGACCATAGCCTTAGATTTTTTTTAAGAGGCCCTCCACATCCCTCCGAAGTCCCATTGTATGTATCTGTCGTACCGAAGGAAATACATGGCAGTGGAAGCAGTTCAATGAATCGTAACATTTTACAAGCAGAAACATTTCAATCATTTCCCCACCAGTTAGGGCAGATCGTTCCGTATTATGCTCCATCGTTTCCTTTTGATTCCACGCTCCCAGACCCATCATGTTTTGTCCCATCAATGACGCCGCTGACGGACAATGTAATCCCATGTAACTTGGGTGACGATGAAACAAACTATTGCGGTCAATGAGACGATAACGATGAGAACGACGTGGAGTACGAGTACGAGGCCGAGGATGATGACAACCACGATACTGAATTCGAGGATGATGTTGATTTTGACAACGAGGAGGAAGTAGACCCAGTAGATGTAGCCGGTCCATCATCGGACCCTTCGACCGAAGTGCACGTGGTCAGTACGAATGCACCATGCACAACCGGTCAAGCTTCTTGCTCAAGGAAAATTGTTAGGACAGGTGATGAAGTTTGTTCGTCAACGGAGGACATTGCGGTAGGGAGTACTTTTCGATCGAAAGAAGATTTGCAGTTCAAACTCTCGATGTACGCAATGAAGATGAATTTTGAATATCGCGTGAAAAAGTCGACAAAAAGTTTGTACACTGTCGGATGCACCGAGGATGGGTGCAAATGGAGCCTACGTTCAAGGAAAATTAAAGGTTCAGATACTTTTCTTATCTCTACATTCTATAAGGTTCACAGTTGCACTCGTGAGGTAATGAAACATGACCACCGGCAAGCTCGAAGCTGTGTGGTGGGTCAGATGATAAAGTCCACATTTGAGGATGTAAGTCGACGTTATAGACCGAAGGATATTGTTAATGACATGCGGAAAAATTACGGTGTTAACATTTGATATGAAAAGGCGTGGCGTGCGAGAAAGAGGGCTTTGGAACTACTAATGAGATCGCTGAAGAAGTCGTACACTCTTTTGCGTAAATACGGTGAGGCGTTGAAATCGGTGAACCTGGGCACGGTATTTTCATTGAAGTTGGAGGACGATAAATATTTCCAATATGCATTCATGGCCCTAGGCTGCTCTATTCGAGGGTTTAGAAGTTGCATTCGCGCCGTACTTTTCATTGACGGTGCACATCTGAAGGGAAAATATAAAGGTGTGATATTGATAGCCTCCTCTGTTGATAGTAATAGTCAGATATATCCACTTGCATTTGGAATCGTAGACAGGGAAACGGACGAGTCTTGGACTTGGTTCTTGGAGCGAGTGAAGAGTTGTATTGGAGATGTTGAAGGATTGGTGTTCGTGTCTGACCGGCACCGAACATTAATAACTCTGTAACTTCTGTCTTCCCCACTGCTGAACACGTCAGTTGCATGCATCACGTGCAGATGAACTTGAATGATAAGTTCAAGATTCGGAGCGAAGGCGTTGAATGGCTATACCTCCTAGCAGCTAAGGCATTCAAGAAGTCTACCTTCAGGTATTATTGGAATCAGCTTGCGGGATTCCCAGAACTGCGACAGTACTTGGAGGAACTCGGGTTCGATAAATGGTCACGCGCATATCAACCTAGATTGAGGTATAATCAGACGACAACTAACATTGCAGAGTCCATGAATGCAGTTCTAGTTCACGCACGATATTTGCCGGTCACTACACTATTAGAACATTGTGGGGCTCTTCTGCAACGATGGTATTACGAACAACGGACGTACGCATCGACCAGAGCATCCATTCTAACTGATTATGTTGAGGGGATTGTTAAGAGTGCAGTGGAGCAGGCTCGACAACATACGATTAGACCGATTGATAATTACGAATACGAGGTACACGATGGTAACAGCAAGGTGCGTGTCAACCTAAACAGTAAGAGTTGTACGTGTAAACAGTTTGACTACTACCAGATCCCGTGCTCCCACGCTGTCGTTGCCACCATGCATCGTAATGTTAGTATATACACGCTGTGTTCGCCCAAGTATAAATTAGAAACACTTCTTAACACGTACGCCGAGCCAATCTACCCATTAGGTGATGAGGAGGACTGGCCTTTACCCGACGACTTTGTTGAGTACACCATCGAGCCTCCGAAGTTCGTTGCAAGAGTTGGGAGACGGCAAACAGTACGAATACCATCAGCAGGCGAGCCTCAACAGATACATAAATACAGCAGGTGTGGAATGCAAGTTCACAATAGGAAAACTTGCCGCCAACCATTACGAACAACTGAGTCTTAGTTCGATGTATGATTTACTTATATCCATGTATTTTCTTTTTTGTGTATTGGAATCTGATCATCATATATTCGGGCGAAATGTTGATGAGATCTTGCCATGAATGCAGTTCTCGGGCGGGATAATGATATTCTCGCCCGTGAAATAGTGCAGAGACCAGCGCACTAGTGGATGAAAACTTTTTCGAGCAAAATGGCCGTATTCTCGCCCGAGAAATATTTCAGTGACTTCATTTGCACTGACTGAAATATTTCTTGCCTGTGAATAGCCCGATTTCGCCCGTGAAATGTTTCAGTGATTTCCATACTTTGTTCTTTTGGGTGGAATATGAATGGTCAATGTTGTATTGATTCGTTTTATGTATCAAATTGCTTTTTTAACATATTTGTCTTATACGAAGCAAGATAAGTAGTTTGTAAGAGCTAGGTAATAAAATAATGGCATAGTACTAATAAGCGGATTAGATTCAAAATATAGATCGGTTTGCCCACATTTCTATGACCAATTTCTCCCTAAAGAAACTAATGTTGTCCTGAGTTAAACTGGTCATATTTAACCCTGTTACATCATACTCGAAATATTTAACGCAAAACATCCCACAGTCACCAGACCCGCTTTGCTGGGACGCGGACGTTACTTGACGAATGCGCCATGGCATATTCGATAGTGTCGGCCTCAGTACCTGAACACCGGCCCTGTGCATCAACGCCGGTAGGACAACAGCCATCGGCCTTAACTCGGACTCCAGAGCTGGAAAGGGTGTCATCGACCTCATCGAATCCCACACATTTATCTCACCCTCCTGCAGATCGATGTGTAGCATAATCCAATGGTTGCCACCGATGTTGTATGGCAGGTAAACAGCATCCAGATCAAGCCATCGTGTCTGATAGTCGGTGTGCGTCCCGTCCATATAGCTCA